CTTTATACCATAGCAATGCTATAAAAGCAAATTTAGAATTTCTTTCTTACTGCCCTGTTTCCTTGTGAAACAAAATAGGTTTCCTTTCTTGATGGTTCAGATCGTTGACTTCTTTGTCCTCGATACTGGTAGAATCTCGAGTTTGTACTGGTTCCGTTCTGTGTACGTGTACTGTGAGAGTCTTCCTAAAATACTTTATTTTCAAACCTCAAACTTGGGTAATTAAACCAAAGATTAACATTAAATATTATACAACATTACAATAATGAATTGATAGATAACACACAAATGTAACTTAATGATAAACCATTTAAAGATACAAGCAAGCTAGACACCTCGCAACCGAGTCATACCAAACAAAGAACTATAATGAATGGCTTTGTAAGGAAGAAAATTGGGAGGGATTTTATGGGTGTTAAGGTTACAAAGTGGATTAAAATCATTTAAAACAATAGTCTTTGTTCATTATATTATAGCTTCGCCATTCTGACGACAAATGCATTATACCCTACATTATTTCTTCAGAATTAAACTTTAAAAATAAAAAGCATAAAATTTTGATGCTATTTTATAGGTAATTTAGCAGCTTGGGCTCGAGAGAAACATCCTCGAAGTATACGAGCAGCAGTTGCTAGTTCAGCTCCTTTACAAGCTAAACTTAATTTTAAAGGTAACACTTTTAATTATATTTATTTCACTTCATTATTTTTTTTTTTTTTTTTTTTCAATAAGCTTATAATTTTTTTTTAAAAAAAAGGATGAAAACATTTAACAATATATTTTATTTGATTTTGTATTATTTTAACACAAAGAATTACAGAGTTCGAAAGACAAATTGAAAAAATTATTGGCAAAAAAGGCACTAAATGTGTTGCAGTGATAAGAAAATTATTCCAGAAAATGCGACAAATGTCAACGACACTTGAAGGCAGACGTGAACTTGTAAAAATATTTCGGTACTGATAATTTTCATTTTTCATTCTTCTTTTCAAAAAGTGTTTTTTTTATTTTGTTTTGTTAAACTTTTACATAGTAATTGAAAGAGTAGATGGTTTAATTTTAATTTTTTGTTAGAAGATTAATTTGCATATTCTTTTCAGATTAGATGATTCTTTAATTCGACCAACAGTATCCGACAAAGATATTGCAAATTTTTTTCTTGTAATTAGTAATTATATTAGTTTCATCGTAATGCATAGTGGAATTAATGTGGTTTGTGGTTTGTTGTTGTTTGTTATGTAATCGATGAATTTTATAATACTATCAAAGTTTCATTTCTTTTAACTTTTACAATTTCAAGTATTTTATTTTTCTTTTTTTTTTTTTTTTTTTTAACAATTTAAAAAAATTAAAGCTTTAATTAGAGAAAATAAACTAATCGAATATTAATTGTTTTAAAACTTATTATATTGATATTAATTAATTCAAATATTAATATTAATTAGGTCAAATATTAATTATTTTTAAAGTTTTTTTATAGAAAGATCATCGCGATTTACTAACTTTGGATGTAATGTGTAGCAAATTAACTGATTCACCATCATTAGAATCTATTCGAGTACTAATTGGTATGGTTATGATATCACAAGGAAAATCATCACATTCAGCTATTGATGTTGGTTACAATAGTTTTCTTGATTTTATGCGTGATGAACGTTGGAATACACGTAACGCACAACGTTAGTATCTATTCTTTCTATTTTAAAAATAAAAAGATGACCTGAATAGATCTAATCTTATTAATAACAATTATGAAATGAAAAAAAAAAAAATCTGATAACAATCTAAAGAGTAGATGTAAATTTTACGTTAATGATTATTTATTGAACAAATTGAATTTAATCATTGATACCAAAATGTAAATTTAAATTAACTCACATTAATTAATTTAATAAAATAAGATAAAAATAATAAGTTAATTAGAAATTTTTGTAATAGTTTAGAGAATTAAGACAAAGGGAAAAAAAAATGAAAGAAGAAATGATTGATTATTTTTTAGCTCGTGCATGGCTTTATCAAAATTGTCATGAATTTGGTCATTTTCGAACAAGCGAAGAATTAAATGGTTTATTTGCTGGAACGTTACCGCTAAGGTAATTTATAAATTTTGAATGAAATATTTTTATATTATATTATTTTCTAATGAAATGTTTAATTTGTTTTAAAAATATTTTCAATTGGTCAACATGCTAATGTGTAGTTTCTTCTTGGCACGTTGTACGGATGTATTCGGTGATCATTTCTCTCTTGAAAATACGGAAAAACGAATCGCTGAAACAAATGAATATTTTGGTGGAAATAAAAATTTTCAGGTTTGCATATTTAAAATTTTTGCTTGCTAAAAATCATTTTTGATAAAAATTTTGTAATTTGTTAGGTAAATTCATGATAATATCACTGATAATAATTAATATTTCTTGGTTTTTATTTTATTTTTTTTTCCCAATGCTATTATCAACGAAAAGAATGATATCATTCTTGACTTCATTTTATAATTCTCGAAAATTTAAAATTACACTAACAGGGAACAGATGTAATACTATCCAATGGTTCGGATGATCCATGGACTTTACTTGGTGTATACAATGGTACCAGTGCTATTAACAATTATATTATTTGCATCGAAGGTTTCTTTTATTTTTTTGAATAAATGATAAAGTATTATTAAAATTCTTTAAAAAATTTAATGGCACTCTAATTGAACTAAAAATTAGCAAATTCTCTTATACACTAAAGAATATATATAGTAATAAAGTTAAGATAAGTATGAAACAGTATTAGTTTTCAAAATATAAGTATTTAAAATTGAATATATTTGAAAAATACTTGAAATTGAATATATTTGAAAAATATTTGAAATTGAATATATTTGAAAAATACTTGAAATTGAATATATTTGAAAAATATTTGAAATTGAATATATTTGAAAAATATTTGAAATTGAATATATTTGAAAAATATTTGAAATTGAATATATTTGAAAAATATTTGAAATTGAATATATTTGAAAAATATTTGAAATTGAATATATTTGAAAAATATTTGAAATTGAAAAATGAGTAAGATATTTAATTGAAGTATGTTACAGGGACAAGTCATGTAGCTGATTTCTATCCACCAAGTAATTCTGATTCAAATGCACTAAGAACTGCACAATATAGGATAATACAGGTGATCGAGAGTATAGTATTGTAAATTGTTCAACTGATTGTATAAAATATTTGTATTTATTTTTGAAATAAATTAAATGTTATTAATTTCAACAATTTCATCACATATAATTTATTTTTGTCAAATTCAATCAAATCTCTGTGTGCCATTTCAAAACGAAAAAAAAAAAGAAATCATAAAATTTAATCTATATGTTCAATTTAAATTATATTTAAATACAATTGACTATTTCATGATCATTTCAAACATTCAAATATTTCTTCATAAATTTTGAGTTTTTTTTTTTTCACATCTTTCATTGCTTTACTAATATTATTTGAAAAAAAAAAATCATTGGTTAATTTTGATTAATGCATTTAACAACAAATTAAATATAATTTAAGTTCCAGAAAAAGCTATGCCAAACAAATATATCTTATATTAAATATCATCTAAAATAAATTCAATTAATGCATCCATTAATGCAGCACTAAAAAAATAAATAAAATAAAATATCTCACAAAATGGATTAATGATAATAATAATAATAATAAATTGCCTATAATGATTCAATAAAAAAAAAAAAAAAAAGGTCAAGGATATTAAGGATGATATGAATTTGTCATATTCAACACATCAGTTAAATTCATCAACTAGTATGATAATTTCAAATATTGATTGATATCAAGTAAATATTCAAAATACAAAAAATAAATTGTCATCGTATAATGAAATCAACAATTTATGCTTTTAGCTTACTTTGTTAAGCGCTAAAATAAAATAAAATAAACTTTCTTGCAAAAGAGTACCAATAATTATAAACATTTGAAAAATATCATTTATTACTAACATTATTACTGTGCACTTATTGAATCCATTGTCAATCTATCATTTTTATCAGTCAACAAAAACCAAAACAAAAAAAAAAAAAAAATGAAATTTCATCAGAACATTTGTGCACTATCACTTTGTCAAATAGCATTTTGTGCTTTTTTTTTTTTTTTTTTTTTTGTAAGAGCATTTGATTTAATTGTTTTTAACTGTCACTGTGCCTATTTCATTTGTTTTATGTCATACCTGAAAGTAGTTCCCATTAAATAATCAGGAATGTAATTAGAAAAATCAAAATGATTCATTCATTTCTTTACTTTTACCTATTTCAAATGCGATTTTATTAATTTATTCTTGTATCAATCACTAATTAACAGCTAATTATGAGAATATTCAAATTTGTTAAAAACAAAAAAAAAAAAAAAAACAAATTAGGTAGAATTAAAACAAAATTTGAATATTTTAATAATTAACAATTAATGATTGATATAATAATACATTTCAATTAATGATTTGATCATTTTTTGTTAATTTCACAAAGTTTGATTCTTTTTTAATATTACTTAATATTAACAATTTTATTTGAAAATTTTCAATAAAATGTGCAAAAAAAAAAAATGAATTTTTGAACTATTACAAAGGAACAGTTACTTTCATTTTCTGTCAATTCTTTTTCGCTTCACTGCTAGTTAACAATTGCATTATGCCAATAAAAAAAAAAAAATACAATTTAAGAATTTCTCATGAATTTATTTAGTTATTCTTCTTCTTCTTAAATTTTGCTCATTTTTCTTCTTCTAAATATTTGAACATTTTTGAAGAATAATTTTATATCACAGATACAGTAATGAATTAATTAATTACTGTATCTACTTTACCCTATAATAATACAAATATTTTTTTTAAATTACTGCTAAATTATTTATAAAAAAATTTCTCGAGTAATAGGTTTTAAATATATGTCAATAATAACTTTATATTTCAGAATTTGAATTTATCAATCAAAACAGGTGACAGTGATGAGAAATGCTCATGGAAGACACAAATCGATATATGAAATATCAAAATGTGACGTTACGAAATGTATGACATATGATTAGCTTTTGTTTTGTTTTCTATCAAAATAATATGGGTTATAAAAGAATTAAATAAAAACTATTTTTAGATGAAATTGAAAATTGTTATAAAAATATTATTGAAAAATTAGGATATATATATTACTGATCAAAATTAGGATATTATTGAACATTTTAGGAATATATGATATGCAATCACATGCATAATCTTACTTTTATAGTAATTAATTTATCATTGCTAATTTCAATTCGATTAAATGAATGCTATCCTCTTCTTTTTTTTTTTTTTTTTAGGAATTCACTGTAATATAAACCTTATAATTACTTTCTTTATGCTATTTTAATTCGAAATTATTTTTTTCAGAAAAAAACAAAAAAAACAAAAACAAAAACAGAAAAAGGAAAGAATAAAAATTTCCATTCATAAGGATGCAGTTAGTAAATTATGACAGAATGAGTTATCTGTTTGACACAAAGCGCTCTTTAACATTGACACAAGGCGCTCTTTAACATTGACACAAGGCGCTCTTTAACACTTATAGCTTTATCATCATTTTTTGTAATTGCAAAATATCATTGAAATACTTGTACGGCACTAATTATATACAATATAAATAATAGAATTATTGCTGTAGTGTCAATATATCAATATCAGTAACACTCACCCTCTTCTTCTTCCTCTCTCTCTCTCCCTCTCCCTCTCCCTCTCTCTCTCTCTTTGTCCTTCAGGTAGAAGAAAAGATCCATTTGACACTGTGACAAACATGAATAAAATACATATAGATAATTACGAACATTTTACACATAAATGTGAAATATATATATGGACATTAGATGAGAAGAGACAAATGAATGGATGGATGACTGTCACATGCAGGTGACAATCTTAATTGCAGCATCAGTCCAGCACAAAAGAGGCAATCGTGCTCTTTCAGTTGGTTCTCAACATCGGTCACTTCAACCTGCTTCTGCTGTCACTGCTGCATCTGTATCTGAATTAGCGTCATCGATGCCACTTTTTCAAGGTAATACTAATGAGATTTCAGGTAAATTAATTAAAGGAGGACTTTTTTCTGCATTTCAGGTAAATTAATTAAAGGAGGACTTTTTTCTGCATTTCAGGTAAATTAGTTAAAGGAGGACTTTTTTCTGCATTTCAGGTAAATTAGTTAAAGGAGGACTTTTTTCTGCATTTCAGGTAAATTAGTTAAAGGAGCAATTTTTTTTTTTTTAGTTTTCTTTCTTTCTTTCTTTCATTTTTTTTTTTCAGTTTAGCATTTTTTTTTTCATCGTAAGCATACAATATTGAAATGCTAACCATCATCAATTATCATTCTTTTCTAACATTTAATCAACATTTATCCTTCATTTCATTTCATTTCATTTCATTTAATCTATCCATCTATTTTAACATTTTTTTTTCCTTCTTCTTCTTCTTCTTCCTCTCTCATTTCATTGTTTTCTTTTTTAGTGCAATTTTTCAATCAATTTTCTTTGATCTTATTTCTAACCATTCTTTCATTCTTTCATCTTATCATTATTTATTTTCATTTTTGATTAATGAAATCCTATATACATTCATTAATTACTACATTGAACATTAACTAGGATAAATAAATGTTCATTCTCAAATTTGTTCATCCTCTCTTTTTACTACACACATCTTAGTAATACTTTACTCTTTCACTCTTATTTCATCTCATTATCCATTCATTTTTTTTTTTTTAATTTACTCTGATAAAGAAAGTATATCAAATATTGATAAGTAATTATTTCTGATATCATATGCATATATAAAGTAAACATACACATTATAATTAATATAACTTTAGAAAGTATATAATTACAATATATTTCTTTTCTATTTTTGTATGAACTAACAAAATGATAAGTGAAAAGTTTAAAATTATCATTTAAATTTATCAAATAAATCATTATTATTTATCCTATACTATATACCAGTGCTATTAAATAGTATTTTAACAAATACAAATAATTTACTTCGTTTTTCTCTCTCTCTCTCTCTCTCTCTCTCTCTCTCTCTCTCTCTCTAGGATTAACATAGATAATAGTAATTTATATCTTATTTACAACTTATCTCTTTACATTTATCTAATTATAAACAAAAAGTTGAAAGTTTCAATATTTCATAAATTAAATTATCATTCGTTTTTAATAATGAAAAAAAGCGAAAGAGGAAAATTTTTTCCATTCGTTGTTATCATTATTTATCAGATAGTAGTATACTGATAACAAAAAAAATCTTAGATTTATGATAAATGTCACAAAATGATGAAAGAGAAATGATAGTGAAGAATGATAAGAGGGAAAATAATGATTCAGAAGAAACCTGCAAATGTTATTGCCAAGGTGGCAAACGAATTAGCTATCCATATGGTTGGACTGCTACTTCTACTTCCACCACTTCTCTTCAATATGATTTTATCGGTTTGTTTATCATCAACAATCACTAAATTATTGATTGTATACAATATTATCATTACCTGTAAATATTTACCTGTAAATTAATAAAAATATTCTTTTACAGATGAATTATCATTTGATGCAAACGATCACTCAACAGTATCTAAAACTAAAACAGGTCACGTGGAGTACGTATCATATCAGATAGCACATCCGGCTGCAATTAGTCAAACATTGGAAAGAAAACCAAGTTTGAATCTTTTATTTTAAATTACTCTAGCCAAATCATATCAATAAATTACACTTCATTGCAACTCGCACTTGAGCCTTAAAAAGAGTTAATTGTGACACAGACATCTCGTAATCAGAGGTCAAAGGGGAATCTTAGAGATAATTTGAGGATGTTATTTATGAATTGTGATGGAAATATAATATAATCTGATGCTTCTTCTTTACTTGACTACTTATCATTGATAAGAGATAAAGTATATTTTCAGGTGTTTCAACTCAAGTATTAAGCGCCCTTATTGGTAATTCAGCAGGTAACACATATAGTCGAACTATGGGTAAAGTTATGCGAGTTCTTGTAAGTGTTTCTTTTAGTTATGATCTTAACAAAAAAGAAAAAAAAAAACGATATTTCAATATTTTGTTGAATTATAGGTAAATATATTATGTGAGTTCTTGGTAATTTAGAAAATAGCACATACAGTTTTTCTTTTTTTTTTTTTTCAACAAAATTATATTTTTGTATTGATATATTATATATTTCAGTGTTCTTTTACAGTTTGCATATATATATATTTAGAATAAAACGAAAAGCCATGGAGAAATAGAAGTGAAGCTGAAGAAACTTGTTTACAGGTAGCTGGATCGAAGAAGGTTGGAAAAACTGCATGTTTAGAACAGCTTGCTTGTCTCAGTGATATTACTGATCAGGTTTTTTTTTTTTATTTTTTAACTTTTTTAGCATTTGAAAAACTCAGTTCTCTTTCACTCTTTTTTTAGTTAGAATTATTACAGGTGAAAGTTTTTATTGGTAATATGTGCATTTTGTTGTTAAATATGTATTTTAGCCTTATGTGCCTACGATTGAAGATACATATCAAGTGCAGATGGATTACGGAGATCGATCTAAAGAAATTATGGTTTTTCATGATACAGCCGGAATTAGTGAAAGTGGCCCAATCGATCTCAAGAGATCTTACATTCAAGTGAGCTTATCTTCTATTCTTCCAGTTCATTAAAAGAATTCTATTTCATTCATACTGCAAAGTTGCATGGAGTTTTACATAGTCATTTCGTAGATAAGTTGGATAGCTAAAATTATCCGATGACATTTGCTATGATAGTCTTTTGCTAATATGGACATTCTATAAGTGATTAATATTAATATCTTTAATATTAATCACAAAGATTAAATATTTTTTGCTTATTATATTGATCTGTCCGTCTAAATAGAACGTTTAAATACAGGTAGCGGATGCATTTTTATTAATATATTCAGTTGTTGATCATGAAACGTTCAACAGAATGGATATGTTAAAAAAAACGATCGATAAACAGTTTGGCAAAGATAAAAAAGAGGTTTGGTAATTTTCTTGTAGTTTAGATGGTTTTAATGGTTCCTACCGTTTGATCATTTTAAATGTTAAATTTTTTTTTTTTTTGCTTATTCTTATATTGCTGGAATATTTTATGACATTTTAATTTCAGGTTCCCATAGTTGTTTTGGGAAACATGATTGATCTACCAGGTAGAAAAGTTGATAGTGATTTCGCACGGAGTTGGGCTGCTAAAGAAAAAGGTTGTTGTAGCTTACATATATACCTTGCATCTATAATGTCTTCTTGAAAAGTAATCATTTTGTTGTTATCGAAATTTTTCACTCTCTTCTATTTAAATCTAATATATGTGTAAATTTTTCAGTGAAATTATATGAAGTAACTGCAAAGAATCGTAACACACTGGTTGATTTAGTTATATATTTAGGTAGCCGACATTTTCACTCACAACGTAAGTTTTGTTGTATAAAAATATTGCTAATTTTTTATACTACATTTTATCGAAATTTAAAAACTTTTTTTTTGAGAAAAAAAACACTTTAAAAAGAATTAAACTAATTTAAACGAAAATACCATTTATCATATTATCCGGCCAGATCTATTCTGGATGCAGTAAATGAGGTAGCATTTAAAATATTTATGCTTTAACTGGATTAAAACCATTGCTATTACTTACTTACTTATTCATTTCATTTGCAGGGGAATCAAAATTTTCTCTTTCTAAGAAGTTGAAAGCTGAAAAATCTAACGCTGCCATAATGATGGATTTATGAAATTACCTTTATTTTTCCTATGTTTTGTTAATTCAGTTTCTATTCGATCAACAGAACTTTCTTAATGGAGTTGCATACTATAAGTATTTAGTGTAAGTATTTTCACGATTTCCGAATATTTATAACCGGTGGCTCACAACTTCATGTCATTTGTAGTATAATTTATATTTATATATATATAATTTTTAGTCATTTATTTTTCTTTGACCTACATTACCTTTTGATTTTGTATAAGATATACTAATGGAAGGAATGATATTTGGTTTTACGAATTTTACATATCTTTTACAAGGAAATTAATATTAATTACTTATAGGATGATATTTCTATTCATAGATGTCTTTTACAGAAAATCAACAACTCAGATAGTTCAGTTCATTAGCTAATCAATCTAATTAATGCTGAATAATTTAAAAAGAGAAAAATCGCTGTTATTCTTTTTGTTTCCAATTTTGTCATATTTCTAGCATTTGATAACTGTAAACTGCCAATTTTATTGTAAATTTCTTTTTATTAGCATAAAATATTTGTAATATTACATTTTTAAACAAGTAGATAGTTCTTAAGAAATAAGAAAAAATATAACTTTTGGTTGGTCAAAATTGACCAGTTTTGCATGATTCTTCAATTGAAATACAAGAGAAATGATTTATATCATATGGAATTTTTTTTTTTGGACTGATAAAAATTAAAGTTTATAAATACCATCAACAAAGAAAATATGTATCATTTGATATATGATGCTATGGTATATGACAGTTGTTCTGAAGTGTCTTCTTCTCAATGTTTTTTTAAATGTATATTTTGTTTCTAAACAAACTTCTGTGTCATTAAAGGTGGTTATTCTTCGTTTTTTTTTTTTTTTTTTTTTGGTGATAAAAAGAACAACATAGAGCCTAGTGTTAGACATTCAGCCTGAATAGGCCTAAAATTTAGTTGAAAGATCTCGAAGTACTGCAGCAGAAATTGTTTATATCAAATTTCCATAACAACTTTCTTGCGATATTCTATTCAATGGCTGATCATTTAAAGATGTTGTAATAAAATTAGTTTATCGATAAATTGAAAGAATTACCTAATGCTGTATACAAATAAAATTTTTTCTACTAGGTACTTTGGTACATTTAGAAAACATTAGGAGAATTTAAAATTATTTTTAAAAAGTTTCTTCTGCTTATTATTACATTTTAAATTCTTTAATTGAGTGAATTCTAATTTAATTTGATTTAATTAAAATGAAATTTAAAAAGTTATAGAGACCACCAGTACGGCAGATATCTGAGATCGATACAACTAGCAAAAAATATGAAACATTGCAAAGCAATGATTTGCATTACATTCAAATGAAAATTTCTTCAACTACTTTAATAAATGATTGGAGTAATGGACAGAGTAATTGGGTTAATATTTCAACTAATTCTGAACAAAATTTTGCCAACAGGAAATCATCATCTTCTAGCAATTATGTGAATTCTTTCATTGAAACATCATCAATGACAAATTTTATCACCAATTCAAATATCACTGAAATAATCACATCTAAGACTGAATCTGATATCATCGAATCAACAAGCTATAATGTCACTAGTTTGTTTTTAAATTTATCAGTTCATTGATTAATTCAATTATATTATCAATTGAATTAAACCAGATAGACATAACTTGAAATTATTCTTTGCTTAATGGTTTAATGAGAAATTGAAAGAGATGAAAATGTAAGCATCCGCTAATTATTCCATTAATTAACTTAATTATTTCTCAACAATCTTAGTATATTTCACTTCAGATAGATAAATTAATTACTACTTAAATGTATATTTTTGGATTGTTTCAGTGGAATCAATGAAAGAGAAAAATATAAGTGATATTATCATCGAAGAGAAAATAATCAAACATTTAAATGATAATAAGCAAACAGCTAAAGTTAAAATTAACATTACATATTCAAATTTCCATTCATTTCATTCATTTATTTTTCATTTAATAAATTCACTTCATGAAATTTGTTATCATTTTAGAATTATCTTCTTATCACAATGATAATTTTCTCTTTATCAGTGATTTTTTTTTTGGTGTAGATTTATTTCCTACAAAATCAATAATTTATTATTTCAGATGTTACATTACTGTGGATTGTATTAAGTTGTATAATAATTATTATAATTGGTCAAATTCTATTTTGTTTTCTTACTTTTGGTCATTATATTCTTCAATTTAAAGAAGAATGAAATTTCTGTTAATTGAAATTTAAAAATTATTTATTTATTTATTTGCATTCAAATTTATTCCATTTTGTTAATTTTTATAAAAGTTTGGAAAGAAAAAAAAAAACATTAATAAAAGGCTATTTGACCTATACAATGACCTTTTTGTTACTTTTTTATGCATAAATTTAATAATAACTGCCAATTTTACTGTTAAATTAGATATGATTAACTATCAATTATTGTTCATTCAAGAATTACTTTTTTTTTTTTTTTTTTGCAGCGATTTCTTTTATTAAATTGAAATTTATTTTTTAAAGAAAAAATTCTATCAAAGATTATAAAACTTTAAGCACTAAAAAATATCTTTTTTATTTTAATTAAAATATTAAAATTCAGAATGAAAAATCATATTACATATGAATGAAATGAATGTGTCATTAAAAGATTTTCAAAATGTTTTTCGCTATATTTCATTTTGTTAAAATTTTTTTATGAAATTTTTACTGTTAAATTAGGTATGATTAACAAGGTGTATTTTACTTTCTTAATTTGATATGATAAAATTCTCGATAATTCAAGAATTAATTTTTATTAATGCTACGAGTTATTTTACTAAATTTCATGTTAGTATTATTTACATTTAACAATGTTTCGATGCCATAAGTATGAGTAAATAATTTCTTTTGATAATATTAATTTTTAAATTACAAAGATAAAATTATTTCAATTTATGATTAAAATCAAATAATTATAATTTCATCTTGCAAAATTGCAATTAATGCATTTATTCGTTTATTTAAATATGTAAGTCACATGTCATCGTCATTTAATCACTAATATATTTTGTTTAAGAAAATAGAACATAAAACTGGTTAATCTCTAATTAATTACCTGTAATCATTTCAAATTATATTTTACAATCACTTTTGCATCATTAATTTTATTCTTTGACTACTTCATTCCATTTTAGAAATTAATTCAAAATGTAATACTTTACTCTCTTCCTACCTTTCTTTCAACAGGTAATCGAAGAAATTGAGAATGAGATTTTTATAATTCATAGCGGTTAAGTTAATTAAAGTAACTCAATGATTATAATTAGTGATAAACTTTAAATTATCAATGAGTATCTCAATGATTATAATTAGTGATAAACTTTAAATTATCAATGAGTATCTCAATGATTATAAATAGTGATAAACTTTAAATTATCAATGAGTATCTCAATGATTATAATTAGTGATAAACTTTAAATTATCAATGAGTATCTCAATGATTATAATTAGTGATAAACTTTGAATTATCAATGAGTATCTCAATGATTATAATTAGTGATAAACTTTAAATTATGAATGAGTATCTCAATGATTATAATTAGTGATAAACTTTAAATTATCAATGAGTATCTCAATGATTATAATTAGTGATAAACTTTAAATTATCAATGAGTATCTCAATGATTATAATTAGTGATAAACTTTAAATTATCAATGACATTTTGCAATCATAAAAATAAGGGTACTTTCCAAACTTCCCATACATTAGCGTAAAATTGATTTATAAATTTCAGGAATACTAATAAATTATTTATAAAAATCCGACTATTACAAAATCTGATTATTAAATTTATTATTTCATATAAATATTGCAATTAAATTTATATTAATTTAAATTGATAAATGCTGAATTTCTTATTTGTATAATTTCTACAGCTCTTCGCTGTTTTCTATTAAATTATCACTTTGCTTTATTTTCAAAACGAATAAATAAAAATTTTAACAATAAGCACAAAAAAATAATTTAATCTTAAAACATTATTAAACTAAAAAAAAAAAAGAAAGAAAGAAAAAATAGTGGAAATGTATAGCAATTGAATGGATATATATATATTTATATGCATGAATTATATTTGATCAAATGTTAATTAATCTTATGCTGCAAAACCCGTCGATAATAAATTAAAATCTAAAATATTGGAGTGGAAAATGAAAAATTTGAACAGAGTTAAATTTATGCTATTAAGAAAGACAATGAAATAAAACATAAATAACAAATAATAATAATAATAATAATAAACAATCACTCATTCATTCTTTTGTAAACAACCAAATTGGAAATTAATTTAATCCCGAAAGACTAATATTAGTAGCAGTTTATAAAATAAATAAGGCAATTCAAATTAAAATTATCACTCATTAAAGATGAAAAATAAAAATGAGCAATATGCTTGAAAATTTTGATAAAAATTAAGTGATAAAATAGTCTATTTAATTCAAGAGAGAGGGAAAGAGAAAGAAAGAGAGAGAGAGAGAGTTTTAATTCAGGCGTTTTTTACTTCCAAATATAGAATTCTTTAGACGTTGACCCAAACCACCACGTTTTTCCACCATCACTAAAATTTAAACATTAAATAATTTTACACATAAATAAGATGTAACATTATTTGTTAAAATTAATATTAAATTATTGAATGAATTATTGACAAATAGTAAATTAAAAAAAAAAAAAAATTCATAAAGTTAAATTTTTGATAATATTTCAAAGAAATGCATAAAATAAAATAATTAACATACCTGAGGAAACAGAAGTATTCATATTTTGTGCAATAAGCTTATTTCCTTGACAATGATTTAAACTATTACTTTTCATTAAAGGAATCGATTTAGATGGTTTTATTTCATTAGCAATCTAAATTACATAGCAAACTTATAGTTTTTACTACTAATAAACAATAAACATTTAAATAATACATAAATACTTTTATCTTTTATCATTTTTTTTTAAAAAGTAAAAGTATTAACCTTATTAAGTGATATCAGTGATGCAGCACTGATCTGTGGCTTTGATACAGTGATTTTTCGTAAGAATTGACCAAATCGATTACTCGTCTTCACAATTTCAGGTGCTTTAGTGGTGGTTGTTGACAGTATTCGATGACTGCATGTTGACATATTGTCAACCTCACTGCTACGTGAAGAGCGTTTCTCATCAGTCTGATAGTGATAATTTCTCGATGAGTGATAAATTTATGTGATAAGCGAATAAAACATAAATTTCATTCATTTTATTTTATAAATTTCAATTTACCTGAATATTATCATAGAAGCCATCATCTTCTTCATCTAAACTAGCTGCTTGAGAGGAAATTAATTGTTTCCCGAGAATTGATGATGCTCGATTACCAGATGATTGTGTTATCAATGAATGATTATTTGGTGATGCATACGATGATTGAGCACCTAATGATGAACCAGATGAATAGTAACCACCTGTTTGTGAAGAATTTGTAGAACCTATAATAAATGTATTTGCTTTTTATTCTATATGAATATTACCTGAAATGCTAGGAAAAAAAATCAGTGTATCATTTAGTTAATTATTTATTTATTGGAATAAAATTAATTGCAGATAATTAATACAAAGTAACTTTTTTAAATTCAGATTTTTTTGAAATTAATATAAAGTAACTTTTTAAAGTTAACTTTTTTTTTTGGGCAAACAATGGTACTAACCTGGTGGACGTGGTGGTGGATGAGTTACTGGAAATGCTGGAATAAATTCAGATCGTGATGGTGTAACAATTGCTGGTGGAAGATGTCGTTTCGATTGAAAAGTTGGACGAATTTTTGAAGTGGATTGCTTCCCTAATGGTTTCGAATAAGTAGAAATAGGCTAAAAGTTTTACTATTATTATTTCTTAATTATTTATTCTTGAAAATTTTAGCAATTTCATTCAATATTATTTCTTATTCATTTCAATTTTAATTTTAATTTTTTTTTTTATTTTAAATTTACATATAGCAATGTATGCTTACCTCTTGTCGAGGAACAACAAAATCATTGATTTCGTAGTAATTTTCATCATCTTTAACATTTGTAGCTAATTGATTATTGCCATTATTATTCTTTGAAATACTCCGACGCCATACTTTTGCATCTATAAATTATAAATATAATTTTATCCATAAAATAAGTATGGAAAAATTTTATGAAAAAAAAAAAATGAAATAATTCAAAGAAAGAAACAATGTGGTTATAGACTCATAAAGAGATATTTAAATTTAAAAAAAAAAAAATTTATGGATTTTAAATATAAAATAAAATTTAAATTTAAATTTTTACTGGTAGCAAATATACTAAAACAATTAAGCAAATCTATTCAATGTCACATGTCACATTGTTTCAATGATACCACGACAGATCACTTCATTTCCGTTTATCAATTTCAAAAGATACTGATAAGAAGAAGGCTTCCTAATCTTTTCTGGTACCATTTCATTATCATTTTAAAACTTCCGGTTTATCATTTAATTATTATCATTTAAAAAAAAAGCTACCAACAAAATTACAAACCATCACTAATTAATTTGAAATACGGATGAAGTAATGTGCATACGAATGTAAAAATGAAAAAGAATTTTGATTGATTATCAGATATTATAGTTTTGCGATAAAACATTCTAAAAAGTTTTGATATAATTTCTGATAACACAGCCAGCCTAGAATTGATAATTAACTGAAAAGGTCAAAAGAATAAGGTCAAATAAACATAATAAAAAAAAAGAAATAGCAGTAATATTTTTTTTTGATAAAAATTTTTTGAAGAAGAAATGATAATTTTTATTAAATAATTACGTTGTTTATTCTCGAATAAAGATTGCATTGCTTCCACTTTGCTTGGATTCAGCTTTTCCTGATTGATTGTTTCAAATGGTGACAATACGGCGGCATTGCCCTTTGATCCTGTCTCTGTAAATTATATTCAAAAATTAAAAAAAGTTTTTTTTTTTTTTTGCATTTTTTACAGATTAGAATGAAATTGCAATGACTGATAACACTTACGCACATATTTACGACCTTTGTACAATTCGTTTGATGTTGTGACATCACTGATGACACTTTGTAACATATTTGTCATCTCATTAAAGGAATCTTTCAATTTCTGAGGTTGCTGTTTACAAGCAATATTATATTCCGATCTATAAGTAAACAAATTACTTACCTAATAAACATTTAATTTAATTCATATCTATTCAAAAATCTACAAAATATCTAAATTCTTTTATGTGACAATCACAGAATATATATATATTTTTTTAATTAATTAAATTGCATAAATATACTTTGTTTTAGCAAATAATTGATTACTACTGCTCTGTTCCATCTGTTGACTACTGATCATCGGTTTCACGTAACTATTATTAGTATGACGTACAAAATATTCATTTCCGGTGGGAAACGAACGTCGTTTGCTAGCTACTGACGTCTAAAATGATATTCCAATAATAAAAAAAAAAAAAATTAAGAACTAATTAAAAATTTTTTTAAAAATATAACTTAATAAATATAATAATAATAATAATAATACTTCGAATAATGATCATTGGTAGTAATACTTAAATTTACAATTAGTTCATAAAACTCTTTTACGAAAAATAAAGCTAACAAGGAAGGAAAGAAGATCCTACCTGATCCGTATTCAATTCCAATTCTGCAACTAATGCATCGATCGTCACAACCGGGTCTGTATTATGAAGTGGTTTCGATGAATCCGGTAAACTGGCCACTGAACCACGCATCATTACAATGCTAGGTGGTTGTAGTGGTGTAAATGCGCCTGTTTTTCGTGCGCAAAGTTGAATTTCTTCCGATTTTGCACTACTCAACGGATCCTAAGATTTATTTACTCTTTTTTTTTCCTTATTAATTAATATAATTAATTAAACAAATATATGAATTGTAAAAAAGAGCAGGGTAAATAGTATCAAATAAGTAAACAAAAAGATAAAATGAAAATTACCTGTGATGTAGATCGCCATGATACTGCACCAGAATCATAATGTTTCTGATCTGATATCCGTCTATGTGATGGAATTCTTTGTATCGGAATTTGATTACTATTTAAATCACAATTACTTGTCCTAAAATATTATCAAATATTAATATGTTAGTAAATGCTTCTTATTCTATTTAAATTAATCAATAATTTTTTAAATTTAGTCTTCTATTTTTTAATAAAGAGTTAAAACTTGAAATGTACTAAAATAATACGAACCAAATATTATCTTATCATTTTACTTAAATTAATCAATAATTTTTTAAATTTAGTCTTCTATTTTTTAATAAAGAGTTGAAACTTGAAATGTACTAAAATAATACGAACCAAATATTATCTTATCATTTTACTTAAATTAATCAATAATTTTTTAAATTTAGTCTTCTATTTTTTAATAAAGAGTTGAAACTTGAAATGTACTAAAATAATACGAACCAAATATTATCTTATCATTTTACTTAAATTAATCAATAATTTTTTAAATTTAGTCTTCTATTTTTTAATAAAGAATTAAAACTTGAAATGTACTAAAATAATACGAACCAAATGTTACTATCATGAAATGATTGAGAAAAACTGTTGAAATTATTTAGACTACCAATACTTCCGGTTGGAAAATTGTATGCAACTTGAGCTTTTACTGGTAACGGTTTAATTGGATTTATTTGTTGAAAATATTTGCTATCGCTATTTTTATATGTTAAAGGATCATTTTGATGAGCATTTGAATATCTGTAAAAAAAAAATTAATTAAAATTAATAAAGTTAATAAAAAAATAAAAATTAATAAAAAAAAGATTTAATAAAAAAATTAAGAAAAAAAAAGGAATAAAATGATGAAAATTATTGAAATGATTAATGAAAGATTAGATGAGAATATTCAATAAATTTCATTAATAACTTTTAAATTTAAAAAAAAAAATAATTTAAATTATAATAATTCCTACCTTACATATTTACCTTTGGTTGATCCAACATTTTGAATAAGATCTGGTACATCTCGAATTTTTTTCTTTTTTCGAACTACTGAATTAATTGCTGCCACTTCAGCCGAACAACTTCCTAACGATCGTTCATCAATATCAGGTTCCTCAAAATAATCATCGCTAATCAAAATAATCACTCAAATAATCATCGCTATCAAAATAATCACTCAAATAATCATCGCTATCAAAATAATCACTCAAATAATCATCGCTATCAAAATAATCACTCAAATAATCATCGCTATCAAAATAATCACTCAAATAATCATCGCTATCAAAATAATCACTCAAATAATCATCGCTATCAAAATAATCACTCAAATAATCATCGCTATCAAAATAATCACTCAAATAATCATCGCTATCAAAATAATCACTCAAATAATCACCGCTATCAAAATAATCACTCAAATAATCATCGCTATCAAAATAATCACTCAAATAATCATCGCTATCAAAATAATCACTCAAATAATCATCGCTATCAAAATAATCACTCAAATAATCATCGCTATCAAAATAATCACTCAAATAATCATCGCTATCAAAATAATCACTCAAATAATCATCGCTATCAAAATAATCACTCAAATAATCATCGCTATCAAAATAATCACTCAAATAATCATCGCTATCAAAATAATCATTCAAATAATCATCGCTATCAAAATAATCACTCAAATAATCACTATCAAAATAATCACTATTAAAGTATTATCATATACCATCAATTGCTCACTTCTATTATTTTATGTTAGTTAAATTTTTATTTTTAATAAAAAATTTCTACTACAAATTTTAATTACAATCAATAAACTATGATAATTTGATCAAATTACAAATAAATTTTAAATTTTACTTAAATGTAGAAATGATGAAAAGTGACATGTTTTTAACTTCCGGTCTTTTTTTTTTAGTCTGATTTCTTTCGAGGTGACAATAGCTAACTTTTTATTTTAAAATAAAAATTTTTAGTCTTTAGCTTAGTCTTACACAAAAATGTCACAATATTTAGATAATTCTAATCCAGGAAAAATAAAAGTACCACTAAAACAATAACAGAATTCAGATTTATTTATTTATTTTTTTGCTTTAAACTTTCAAAATAAAGAAGAAATTATTTTTGCAGGTTTAGTTTACAGTTAATTATAGTTGTGGCAGAAATAATTTATAATTTTTTTTTTTTTTATTCAAGATGATTTTTATTTAAAATAATCATTAGACCTAGTATTAGTAGCATTTCAAAAAATAATTTTTGATTTCAATAATTTTATGACCCAAAGAACATTATCATACAAAATAATCCGGAAGATAAAACTGATCTTATCAGATTGTGATAGTAGAAAATAGATGTAAAAATTTTTCCGCCAAATTTTTTGAAAAACTTCACCATCATTATACTTTTTTAAAAAAGTTCAAAAAGTAACTAGTTCTTGATCTATTTACTATCCGAAATAGATCAAAATATTTTTTTTTTTTTATTCTATTTATTACACTAAAAAATAGGTATTGAGTTTTTTTTTTCATTGTAAATTATTATTAATATTTTTTTTGTCATCTGAACTGAAAAGATCACACGTTTCTTAATTTAATTTTTATAGGGGAAGTATAACTATTGTAGAAGTGATTTCCGGAAAAGTTTATGGAAAGATTGATAAGTTGATCTTTACTTAAATATTTTTCACAATTTATGTTACAATTTTTTAATTAAACAAAGTGAAAAGTTAAAATAATATTATACAATTTAATATGGTATGAATTGTGTGAAATGTCTAGCAAAAACGAATATATTACTTAAATTACTAAAGTTACTAAAACAGAATTTGTTATAATTAGAAAAAAAAAAAAAAATTTTAAGAAACAAAATTTTTAACAAACTTCTTCAACACCATCAAGAATTAAATCTGGTTTTGGTTGAACAGCAATCCATGATTTGATATCACCAGTAAGCCATCGTCTGGTAAAATCCATCCTTTCACCTTTAAGTTTACGATTCTGTGATGGTATTACAACTGTCTCCGAAATTTCAATGTCACCTGTTGATGGTTGCTCGAATGATGCAGCTTTTTCTTGCAAGCAATGCTTCTCGAAAATCTTAATTAAATTATTTTATTCATTCAAAAAAAAAAAAACATTTTCCAAGATTTAACTATCTTTTTAATTTTTTTTTAATTTATAGCAACAAAAAATTAAATTCATTCATTTCATTTTGCACTTTATTATAAATTTTCAATTTTTAATCGCTCAAAATTAATATTTTAAGTTTACTCTTGGCTTTGATGCATACAACGAATGTCTTTTGGTAGTTGCAACAGGTATTTGTCGTAAATTTCGCTCTTCCAAGCTAACAACATTATTCATCGTTGGCTTAATATTACTGCAATAATAATTTAAATTGTATATTTTAAAATTGAATGAAATTTAATTTTTTATTGGGAATGAAATTTAATTTTTATCATTTTCTTTCACATTTTCTTAATCATTGTAATCATATTTTGTAGTTTTAACAAATAATTTATATAAATAAATTTATACCTTTGTACATATTTTTATTTTATTTTTATTTTTATTTTTTTGATTGACATTCAGGAAGAAATAACATTTTTTTTTTTTTGTACACAATGAAATTATTATGAAAAATTAACAACTACCAATTATATTACATTTAATTTTACATAAAATGAGACTGAAATGAACAGAGAGAGAGAGAGAGAGGGAGGGAGAGAGGAGAGAGCGAGGGAGAGAGAGAGTGAAATAATCAATCAAATGGTACAACTTTCTGATTTAAATATTAGCATAATATAATCTATCATATTATTAAATTTTTCTCCATCATCATAAAAATACTTAAATTGAAATAATATACAGTTAATTATTTATGATATTCATTTCGAATTTTTTTTTTTTTTTATATAAACCCTCTGAATGCTGCAATTATCAAACTTAAAATATATCTGATGTGACACTTTTCCATAATTTGCTACTCTTTTTTTCATTTCACAAATTCAATATTTTAATTAATATTTCAATCATATAAGATTTATTTGAATAATTAATCAAAATTTTTTTGTTTTTTTTTTTTTTTGTTAATAAAAGAATGCTTACCCATTGCATTGTTTTAGTTTAACTGTTGGTGCAGTTACGTTCACAAAATTTGTACTATTTTTTGAAATTTCTTTATTTATTACTATTCCACGTGATTGCTGCGTGTTATCTATCTACAATAATTTTTAAATTGTTATCAAAAAAATAAACAATAAACAATAAACAATAATAGTTATTGATCAAAGAATATATTATATTATATTATATTACCTGATCACCCTCTCTTTTAAGATCTTCAAATATTTGATCCAAATAATCAATAGCTTCTTTAAATTTATTCCTATGCTGATGATGATGCCTGTATCGAGTTTGATCGATCATCTGATCCAATTGCAGATTATTAGCTATCTCTGATCCAATTACACCACTGCAACAAGCCATTTCTCTTATTTTATTGAAATATTTTTCACTTTATTAAATTACTTCATATTTTATTTATTTTTTAAATATTTATTATTTATTTATATGTATGTTAAAAAGTGAAATATTATCGCTTAGAATATACTTCCATTTTTCTGTTAAATTAATAAATTAAATTGCAAAACAGTGCTATCTGTTCAGGGAAATGCCGTGAAGGAATTAACGAAGAAGATAATAGCGATGTAACGATAATAATAATAATTAATAATCGTAATAATAATAGTAATAATGGTAATACAGCTTAATAATGATAAAGTGATGTGTGTAATAAAGGAAGAAGAATTTCCTGTTTACCCATAATTACAAATATTGCAATAATGTAAAGATAAATTGCATAGAATATTATCATTATTAAATGTTTTTTTTTTTTTTTTGAATCGATTATTGAAAATTAATCTTTTTTAAATAACTGCAATAATGATAAAATGATAAAATGAATGATAAAAGATGATAAAAAGCCCAAAATAATTTTTTTTTTTTAAAATCATTCAAATTAAAAAAATAATTTAAATGAAATGATTATTTTTCACAGAGTTAAAGTTAAATAATTTCCTGTAATAATTAAAAATGCATTTTCATTTTTTTATTTTAATAAGAATTAAAAAGAACTGAAAAAAAAAACAAAACTTCTAAACTGATCATTTTCTTTCTTTTCTTTTCTTTTTTGTTTTCATTTTCAACACAAAATTGTAGACATCAAATGAAAAAAATTGAATTAAGAAATAATTAATGATAGATAGTTAAATGAATTGAAATGAAATGAAATGAATTGAAATGAATTGAAATGAAATGAAATGAAATGAAATGAAATAGATGGAAGATAAAATTTGAAAGGAAGAAATGTGCTAGTAGGAAATGAAAACTCCGCCTCAGTAACAGTTAGGATTAGTAATTTAGCATTTGCGCTCGCAATCATTTCTATTCTCAATTATTATTTACACAAATGATAATTGTAACAATATCATCATCATTATATAAAACTAGAAAAAAAAAGAAATGATCGATAATTAATGAAATTTAAAAGTAAAGTAAAGTAAAGTATAAATATGAATGATGGTAAAGTAAATTTCTAATTACTTACACTTTCTTTTTCAGTAACAAATAGAAATTTGAAAAAAATAAATGCTATATCTGATAATTATAATTATAATAAACCACAAATTCGTTATTTTTACTCTATCAAAACCTTAAATTATTTATTACCATTAATTAATTTGCTACAAATGCTATAAAATGAATTTACCTGAATTTATTTTACTCTCAGATGATCTTATCAATTGATGATTTTAATTCAGATTAATTCTTAATTTCTATCAATTATCACCTGTACCAATTTTTTTTTTATTGCTAACTTCTGGTTTAATCATCATCGATTCAGTTCTGTAAACATTCCCATCCCTTCCCTTCCATATATGTATTTTACCTTATTTTGTCAACCAACCTATTGTGTGAATCGATGCTAGTTGTTGATTGCCGACCACTTCCGTCGATGCGGGTAACCGGTATATGCGCTGCGTAACGTTCATGCCGTGGTTGCGCAGCTGCTGCTACCGCAGCTGTGAAATTTGACGTTAAAGATGAACCTACAACTAGTGATAAGTGATAAGCTAAACTTATCAAAATTTGCATTTTCCAAATAAATCATATTCTATACAACCTATACTTGTATTACTTAATTACACCAACTCTCAAGCAAATATTATCTTTCAAAAATTTCTAAATGTCATCAGGAAATTAAACATAATTATCAGTAATTAACAATTTTTTATTCACTAAATACATTTTTTGCTGCTAAGTAATAATAAATTTTAATCAAAAATTTTTATGCAAATTATTTTATTAGATGCTTATTCTCGAAGTGTAATTTAAATATAATTATTATAGAAAGCAGTTGTCTGAGAAAATTATATGAAAGAAAATTAACGAATAACAAATTTGAATATGAAATCATCAATTCCTTATCATTAATGAATTATTTAATCAAACCTTCAACAGATGGATATCTGCTATGATCATAAACTGGAAGTTGCATCGTTTTATCAACTGTTGATGAATTCTATAAGTAAACAACTGTTAGATATATTCAAATTCATTATGTAATTTTATTTACATTTTAATTACACAAATTCTTGCAATAAATATTGCCATTAAAATGATAATATGTCAATTATTTTGATCAACTAATGTCACTTTAACAAATGTAATTTTGATAATTTAAACATTTATTTAGATTTCAACTTTCACTTGTAAATACATGTATTACTTTAAAAAAAAAAAAACTTTAAAAAAAAACTTTAAAAAAAATACTTTAAAAAAAAAACAATTTTGGAAAACTTAAAAAGGAATAAATAGTTTTGTTAGAATTAACAAAATTTTAGTTATGCATAAGAATAATAGAAGGAAGGAAGAAAAGAGAAATTGTTGAATAAAGTTTTTAATTGAAAACAATAGGAAATTATAATTTATAATGGAAAAGATTGATATACAAAAAAGGAATGAAAAAAATTTTAGCATTTAAAAAAAATTTCTAATATGACAAAAAGGAATGAAAAAATTGAAAATGAAAAAGATAAGTTAATTTAGATAATAATATTAAATATATTTAGATAAAATGAATAAGACTAAATAAAATAAAATAAAATAAATGAAAAGAAAAAGAAAATTAAAATGTTGTTAAAATGATTGAAATATCAGATTCCTGTTTTTAAATATCAAACTTGATTTTATCAAATTATTTGTCTCAAATTTAATTTAATTCAATGCAAAAATGTCAACAACTATGCAAGCAATCAAAAAAAACTACTCTCGATTTGTTTGTTTGTTTTAACAAATTAATTAAGAATTTTCTCATTAAAAATATAATTTTTGTTTTATTTATTTTTTTTTTTTCTTTGTTACACAAATTCACGTGAGAGCATGAAGAAGAAGAAGAAGAAGAAGAAGAAGGAGAGGAAGTATTATATGCTGATAAAATTTCTCAAATAGATTAATCAATTTTTTTTTTAAATTTTACAACATCAAATTTTTAATAGATTTCTTGACTTATCTCTTATCAGCTCCTAGAAGTTAAATCTAAGAAAAAAGAAAAATGAAGTGTAAGATTAGATTAACTAACTAATTAATAAAAATGAACAATATTAATTAGCAAATATAAAAATCTGCTGAAATTTATTTCATCAAAATGATAAGCTCTTTTTTTTTTCAAACTTGTTATTGATAAAATAACATATCATTGATCAGATTAGCTCTAAGATATCATAGATTATAGCTAAACTATATATATATATATAAACAATCTTAATTTATTTATATCAATATTACTAATTATTTCAAATGAAAATTATTTTATTCTTTCTAAAAGAGGAAAAGATATTTGATTATTAAAAAAAATGAATCATAAAAGTATGAGAAAAAGTAAGCAGTAAAATCATTCAAACTAATGAAAAGAAATGATGCAAAAAAAAAAAAAAAGAGAGATAAATATGAAAGAAAGAGAAAATTTTTTGAAAAAAAAAAAGAAAAACGAATGGTGTAAGAAAGACTAATAAACAGAGAGGATTGATTTGTTTTAGTACAAAGTGTAAAAATGCTTTCAAAGATAGTTGAACGAATTGATATCTTATCAGAGTTAGTGATAAAGTATCTAAATTCTGTATGATCTTGCACAAATAGAAGATGTTAAAGAAGCTCGAGAAATTAGCCTGTAGTAAGCAGTTAGCTAGTTAACTTTAGCTAACTTTCAATGAAATATTGCGATATGTTGCAGAAGAGCGCTAATATACTGATGCTAAGAGCGCTGATATACTAAATGCTAAAATAGATGAGAAAGTTTTGATCAGTTGTTGTAAATATTTAGCTTAATCAGGTATACCAATAGAAAGAGAAATATAATTGTTGTTCATTTTCACTTCACTATTTTAATTTATTGCCTGAACTAACTGATATAAATTCATTTTCCTGATATTTCATTTCCAGTATACAACCTGAATTGTAATCCTATCAAATTTGTTATTCATTATTTTAATAATAATTAAATTATAAAACCTGTATTTCATTTCCAATATATATATTCTAAATTGCATTCATTATTTTAATAATGATTAAATTAAATAAAACCTGTATAACTGGAATATTATTATCATCATCATCATCACCATCATTATCATTATCATTATCACAGACAGTGGATATTCGACGAAGTTGAAATGCTTGATTTTGAAGAGTTTGCTCAAATGGTGATAATGGTATATCAAATTCAAACGATGGCTTCGTTAACGACATTGATCGTTCTGATCTAAAATTGCGTCATTTTTGCATCCTTTGAATTGCTAAGGCCAAATTTATCATAATTCTAAATTTAAAAGTAAGTAAACTTTTTATAAAACTCATAGATGCACAATTAAGCAATTAAATTGAATTGAATTAATTAATTAATACCTTTCAATTGATGAATTCTTCAGTTTACGATGATTTTTGGCCAATAACTTTTCTCCATGCATTCGTATTGGATTTGAAATTGTCTCCATTTCGACACTACCAAGACGTGAACGACTTGGTGCTGTGATATATGGTACTTGACGAGTTGGTTCCAATATTCGAACTAAGTTAAGTATAAGTAAATACTTTATTGATATAATATAATTATTTAATTATTTACAATAAAACTTTTAGTATTATTATGAAAAAAAAAATTTTTGTTAATTCTGCGATAATAAATACAAACAATACAATGACGTGAAATATTACGTTATTTTTACAGTAATAAAATAATACGCCAAGTTACGCCAATTCTTTGGTATTATATTACATTGTATATCGTTTATATTATTATAATTTAATCTTATTAAAATGATCAATTAATAAACTTTATCTTATTATACAATTTCTTTTTTTCAAAATTTGAAATAAAATTTGAAATACTTTCATTGCAATATATATTTTCCTGCGAATTCCATTTTTGATAAAAATATAAATTTTCAACTTTTAAAATTCCAATCAATTTATGGTAATCAAAAGAAAAAAAGAAAAGTTATTTTATTCATTTCTTTATTATTAAATTTTTTTTTAAAATGAAATGAATATTTCATTTTAAAATACTAAAAGCTCACCAGCGCAAGCGCGCATTAGTTCAGAAGCCGCCATCGAATATGATGATTCTCGATTATTAAATTCCGCTGGCTCACTGCGCATACGTTTTACTTTCTCGTGCTTATATTTCAGGTATTTTCCAAGTTTGGAACGGTCGGAAAATATTAGCTCATCGTTTTCTGACAATGCCTACAGTAAACAAATAAATGTGATATAACCTTTAACCTTTTGCAATCATTGATCATATCATTAGTTCCTTAGTGAAATATTAATTTCTGTAAAATGTGAAGCAAATATATAAATGAAATGAATAGATGACACCTCGTCAGTATCAAATTTCAAAGGAAGCAATTGATCAGATGCGCAGTTGACTTCGTTCTTGACCTTTTGTCCCTATAAACTGATAACTTTTGAGGAGGAATAAAAAAAAAAAAAAAATCAGATTTTTTATTCTCAAAATTATTTCTTTATTTATTTGATTGAGAATTGATTATGTTTTATTCTTCTTCTCAAGTAAATATAATTCAATCATTGTTCAAATTTCGAATTGAATTTTTATAAAATGTGAAAACAATTGACAAAATTGAAAAAAATATTAGTAATACGGAATATTTGATGTGTTAATCATTGCAAATAATAAATAGAATTTACCATATTATTCTCTTCAACAATGTATGCTTGTTGAGGGACATTTTTTATAGACCTAAATTAATCAGTGATATTAACTTTGAATGTGAAATATCATTTTTTATTTACAGTATTAAAATTAGTTATAATTTTCATATAGATATTTTAATTTTTTTTTTTTAAAATTTGAATAAACATTTATTTACACAAAAGTTTTTTGATTAATTATTATAAAAATAAAAAAAAAAAAAGGAAGGAAAGAATAAAATCTATAACATTTAGTTAGTAAAATTATATCACCTGAAAGTGTTAATAAAATAACCTACCTAGGAAAACGTTTAGGATATGTAATTTGAACATATTTCAAGCATCGACTAAAGTTCACATTGGTAACAGGTGAAGTAAGAACTGTTACCTGAATATAGAATGATAAGATTAAAACATATCATTCAATTGGGTGATAGTGATAAGTGATAAAACGCTTAAATGTTATCTAATATTTTCTCACAAGTTAATTTCATTCTTTAAATTTAAATAAATTGATTAATTCATTTATTGATAGTTATGGACTAGAAGAAAAAGAAGGAGAGAGGGAGAGAGAGAGAGGGAAATTATCATCTATGAAAATGATTAATCTTATCAGTGGCTTACATATTTAAACAATTGCAGCTTCTCACCTGAGCTCGACATGAATTCTGTTCATTCGATCGTTTAAAAATTGATTCATGAACAGTAGTAACTCGCATACTAGGCTCTTTTACTGTTAATAAATATGGCTTATGTTTCCTGAAAGTTAAGTGATAAAGTCTCGTAACAAATAACAGAGTTATCACTAGTGTTATCATTTAAGGTTTAATGTTATCATTACGGCTAAGTTTTACCTTTTCATTTTAATGATATCAAATGTGCCTTCTTGCATTGATTGTGTTCGAGATGTAAACATTGCATCAACATTAATTGCAGCATTAATTATTGATAACAATTTCTTGTCAATTTTGATAATCCTAAATTATAATCTTAAAAAAAAAAAAAAATTTTTTATTTCGATTGAAGTTTTAAAATAAATTTTGAAAAAAAATTTCAAAAAATTTTAGTTCTTTTGTTTTTGCACAAACTAAAAAAATATATTTGAATTAATAATATTTTAAAACATTTCAAGATTAATTCTTATGCAAAAAAAAAAACTTTCTTCTTTTTTTTTTGATAGTAAATTTGATAATTTAATATGTTGCTAATAATAAAATTTACCTGAAATATTTTTGATTGAAAAAAATTTTTTCATTGTTTACAATTTGAGATTGAAATGCATAATTTAGTGTAATCTCGACTGGTTGACGAGATTTTTGTTTGGTTGTACGAATGGTCACTGCTGGTACTTCTTTATATGATATACATTTTTTGGTAATAATACCAAAGACATTCTCATTACTGTATGTTTCATTACTGAAAATTTTTTAACTTTAATTATTTTTTTTTTTTTTAGTTTTGTACAAAAAACTTTATTATTTTATTTCTTTTTTTTCTATATTTTTGTATAAAAGAATTTTAAATAATTTAGTAAAATAATTAGTGTAATTTACAAAAAAAAAAATTAATTAATTAATTAAATTTTGATAATTTAATAAAGAAATAGAAATAAACCGTTGAAGTCGTTTATTATGACTAATATTTATTTCATGATAATCAGGACCATTCCAAATACCCGGTACTGGTGCTGGAGATTTTGATTTTGTACGTTGCACTTCGTCTGAAATTTGATAATTAGCAAAAAAAAAATTCTTTACAACGATTACTTAATGGATTGAATTACTTACAATGAATTTTTTTAAAAAAAAAAAAAAAAGTGAAATGAAAAGTTAAATCAAAGAAAAAAATAAAAGAAGTTAAATTGAATTGAAAATCAAAAAAAAAAAAAAAAAGATATACTAAAAAATAAATAAATGTGAAAAGGAAGAGAATTCATTTTAATTTTATGTATTTCAAAATGAAAGCACTTCAGATGGTACTATTTCAACAATTAACAAAAATATTTTATTAGCATTAGCATAATGTAAAAACACTAATCTGACCAAACTCTCATAATGGACAATGATTCATTAAAGAGAGAGAGAGGGAGGGAGAGAGAGGGAGAGAGAGAAATACAAAATTGATATATAGTAAAGAAATAATGGAATTGTTATTAAATATTGAATATTTATTTAGAATTACAGGATAAGTGTTTAAATAATAAGCTTAATCATTCAGTTGTACTACTTTCGAAGAGTTATATTTTACCTAATTCTCATGTATTGATAATATTTTAATCATAATTTTTAAAATAGTAATTTTAAGTAACTTAATTATAAGTTATTTAATAGTGATTAAGTAAGTTAATTATCATTTTAATTTATATAATTTATATTTAATTCATAATTTATTTATTTATTTAAATAATAATACTATTTTAGTTCATTTAATTTATATTCAATTTATTGATTATAAACTATTTAATTACTTGATTAAGAACTATTAGTTATTCATATTTAATTTAAAATTTAATTATGATGCATCAAAGTATTTTAATTATTAATTACTCGACCAAATTACATATTTCAAATATTTTTAAACTACCGATTGGATTACGGAAGAAATTTTAGACAGAGCAGCTAACAGCGATGAAATTTTATGAAATTTTATTGAAATGTATTTATCATTTCAATAAAATCGATTTAAAAAGAAAAAAAAAATGCAATAACTCTAAATATTAAAATCTAATAGATAAAGTTGAAAGATGACCGCTAATTAATTTCAAAAATAATATTAGAAAAAAAAAAGACCAAAAAAAGGTATATGCATTTGATCATTTAAAAATTTTGTTAAAAATTTTAAAAATTTAATTTAAAAAATTAAAAAATTGTTTATTTAAAAAGATTAAAAAATGATAACACACACACTTTTCTTTCTTTGCATCTGTCAAACAGTAAAAATCATTTTGTCAACATCAAATAACAAAATTTTAGTTTTTCTTTTTTTTTTTTCTTTCATTTTCTTTTTCTGCTATTATCTGACTTAATCAATTAACAAATGCATATGCAATAAATATTTTTATTCAAATTTCACTTTTGCATTTTTCTTTTTTTTTTTTGTAATTTTCACTTCAAAAGTTTTGTCCTAACTTTCGATCAGAAAAAAAAAAAGATGAAAATATTAAAAAATCAAATCAAACTATCATTGTAATCACAAATGTACTTTTTTAGATAATTTTTTAGTTTAACTCAATAACTCAGTGATATTATAAATGCATATTTTAAGTTTATAATAATGTAATTAAAAGTTTTAAATAATAAATTATCAATGGAACAAAAAATTTAATTCTTTTGGGAAATTTATTGATTGTATTATTTTTAACAAAATTGATACAAAAAAAAAAAAAATGATTGTATTATTATTATTATTATTATTAAACAAATTAAGCAAAGCTTTTGAAATTACTTGAATTAAAAGTTAAAAAAAAAGTATGAAATTAGCTGAATTGTTAAAATAAGTAAATGAGAAAATTTTTCTAATACTATAATAATTATTTGTGAAATATTATTATCATTAATAAGTATAACATTTCTTAGTTAATTACTTTGCAAGATGATAATTCAAATAGCTAAAAAAAAAAAAAATATTAATAAAGCATAAACTTATTAGTATTATATTTGTAAAATTCACTCCTAAAAAAAAAAATTTTTTTAAATTTTATAAAATACTTTTAGAAAAGTAAAAAGTATTGAAGTTTAGCTAAATTAAAGTAAGATATTGAGAGAAAATAATAAAATAACTGAAACCACAAAAAAAATTTCAGATGGTATTAATACCAAGGTTATTTATTAGGAAAATTTTAGTTTTTTAAACTTTTTTTTTTTTTTTTTGGATATAAGAAAGAAAGAAAAATAAAAAGTCAATAAATAAATGCCAACTGTCTACGATTAGTTTTTTTTTTTTTTTGATATATATCAATCACATATATACTTTGATGAATTATCATTGAATTTTCAATTTATAAGCCCAAAAAATTTTATCACAAATAACTGGTTTCTTCGTTTTTTTTTTTTTTTGTTTGTTTTATTTCGGTGATTGTAAAAATAAAAAAATTGACTTTATCTAAAATGAAAATAAATTTAATTATCTCTTAGCGTAATTTAAACTATCACAAAAAATTTAATTCATCGTTGGTGATGTGACAGTTCCGTAATTCAAACAATGAACATAGATAAATGTGAATGAGAAATGAATTTGAAAAGACAATAATTATAAAATATATTCGTGAAAAAAAGTAAGAAATAAATTATCATTGTAGTTTGTTTATTCAATTATAAATTTGAAATTTAAAAATTTAATTATATTTAAATGTCATTTAATTCTGTCTAAAAGTACCCTACAATTGAAAGATATTATACAAATTACTAATTTGTTTTTTTCTTTCTTTTTTTTTTTTTTAATTTGTGGGAAAATTAAAATATAGGGAAAGCGACAACAAAAAAAAAAAAAAATCGGCAATAAATGTTTGAGAAAAATAGTAAATGAATTAGCAATGAATAATTTTGAAATTAATAAACCTGAAGAATTGAAATTAGCCAAATCATCATCATCATTATCATCATCATTATCATCATCATTATCACCATCATATCGTTTCTTGCTAGTTTCGGCGAGATTGTCAGCTGGTAGATTCATATTCTGTAACAAAAATAAAACATTTAATCATAATTATAATAATAATAATCTTAATCATAATCATAATAATTATAATATGATTTGTACACGTATAAAAAAGGAAGTTATCGAAGAAATAATAATAATAATCATAATCATAATCACAGTAATAATAATAAACACAATCATAATAATTATAATATGATTTGTACACGTATAAAAAAGGAAGTTATCGAAAGTGAAATAATAATAATAATCATAATCATAATCACAGTAATAATAATAAATACAATCATAATAATTATAATACGATTTGTGCATGTATAAAAAAGGAATATTTCGAAAAAAGGAATTAAATTTTCAAAATTTTTATTTAACTTAAAAATAAAAATTTATGGTTTGCAGTAAAAAGTGCAATGGAAAATGCATACGTGCGAATAAAATGAATGTAAAAAAGTTGACATTTGTTCACTAACAATAATTATTGTGTAAATTTTTAAAATGATAAGATGGTAATATAAAAAAAAAACTAAGAAAAACAAACAGGAAATGACTGTAATGGAAGTATTCAAATGTACTATTTATTTTTTTTAAAAATGAATGAATTAAATTTTATTCAAATAATATTTTCATTTATAATAATGCAAAAAAAAATAATATCTAAGAATAAAAAGTTTAAATTAAAAATAGTTAAAATATTAATTTAACATTTTTAACTTCTTTCATTAAGCTAAATGTTTAATAAATAGGCTTTAGCACAATAATTTTACTAAACTAACTTATCAGTAATCTCACTGATCGAATTTTTGTAAATAATTGCAATTTAAATTTAAAAATAAAAACAAAAAACAAAAAAAAAAGAAATATAAGAGTGATAAAATAAAAGCTAAACTATAGCAGCAATTGCAAAAGTAGTAAAATGAAAGGAAAGATAAAGTTAATATTACAAAAGTTTAGCTCATTTGATGGGAAGATGGATGACTCATCCATAAAAAGTATTAAAATTGATAAAAGGATGAATGAATGGAGAATAGAAGAGTAGTTGATTTAATTCAATTCAATTCAATTCAATTCAATTCAATTCAACTCAATTCAATTCAATTCAATTCAATCCATTTCAATTCAATTCAACTCAATTCAATTCAATTCAATTCAATCCATTTCAATTCAACTCAATTCAATTCAATTCATTTCAGTTGATCTTTTAACATTCCTGCATAATGATATTCTCATCGATCCATAAAAATAGCACTGATAAATTTTAAAAATGCAAAAATCTCTTTCTTCTTTTCTTCCTCTCTTCTCTTCTCCCTCTCTCTCTCTCTCTCTCTCTCTTTTTTAAGTAAAAGAAAAAAAAGATACTTTTATAGAAATAATTATGACTAACTATATTTTTGCTTAAAGATGAAACGATTTTGGTCGATAAGATTGAAAGGGTTGAAAGCTGATCGGAATAAGGCGATGCTTCTCTTCGATTTGCTAATTTTACATCGATATTTGCTTTCGTCTGCATTCCTAGCGGTGTTTTTTTACATTCCGTACATTTATTACCTAAATAATTTCCATAAAGGTACCATTAGGTTATTTTATATTCCGTACATTTATTACCTAAATAATTTCCATAAAGGTACCATTAGGTTATTTTACATTCCGTACATTTATTACCTAAATAATTTCCATAAAGGTACCATTAGGTTATTTTATATTCCGTACATTTATTACCTAAATAATTTCCATAAAGGTACCATTAGGTTATTTTATATTCCGTACATTTATTACCTAAATAATTTCCATAAAGGTACCATTAGGTCATTTTATATTCCGTACATTTATTACCTAAATAATTTCCATAAAGGTACCATTAGGTCATTTTATATTCCGTACATTTATTACCTAAATAATTTCCATAAAGGTACCATTAGGTCATTTTATATTCCGTACATTTATTACCTAAATAATTTCCATAAAGGTACCATTAGGTTACTTATAAATGTAATTAAATAATAATAAAATTTTTCAAGTAATCAATTACAAATTAAATAAAAGATTAGGTACTAATTAGATATTAATTTTATAAATTTATTTTGTTATTATTGTTGAAGAAAAAATACGAACAAATTTATTAATGAAATAAATGAAAATACTTAAATTTCTAAATGATATTTCGATATTCAAAAATTTCTTTCTTTTGCTTATTATAATTTAACAAATAATTCAATTTTGAATTTATCACCAATAAATATATAATTATGAATTATGCAAATTAAATATTAACTATTAATAAAATAGAATAGTAAATGTAAAATGATAAAATGACATGGTGACATAATTTATAGGTGACAAATGTGTATGTGACAGAAATGAATGTATTCAGAAATACCTTTTAATGCATTCTTCTTTGCTTCCATTTTATGATTAATGCAAGTTGTTGCATTATTACATTTCTTTGTTGATTTCTTTCTCTTTACAAATGATAGTACTCTTATCAGTTTATCTTTTCTCTCTTTATCACTTTCCTCACATTGTGCTATAATTTAGGCAATATTAAACGAAATGAAAAATGATAGAAATTAATAGAACAATTTACAAACCTATTTTACATATAGATTTTAAATTCAAATTAAATAATTCTTTTAAAAAGATTTAATTAAATTACTATTTATAAATTAGATTTTAAAAAAAGTTAAATAAGTTTTGAGAGAAAAAAAAAATTTATTTAAAATATTTCTTCATTGATATTTTCTGCATTTTTTTTTTTGATTTAAAAAAAAAAAAGAAATTAAATTACGTATGAAGTGATAACGGTGATAAATTTTTATAATAAATTAAGTATTCAAAATGATAACAATGTTTATAAAAAGTAATACAATCTATTATTGATATATGAATTAACAGAAATGATTAAATATTTGATAATATAAAACTTTATGCTCTCAAATGCATATAACTAAAATTAAAATTAACACGTTAGAATTTCAGGTCACGTTTAATATCAGTTGATAGAAAACGAGTAAAAGAAATGAAAAAGAGTTGTAAAAATATAATTAAATGAAGGAAGAACAGGTTAAAAGTAAATGTAAGTCAATGATAATAAACAGATACTTTAAATATCTTTTTCTTCCTTTTTCTCTCTCTCTCTCTCTCTCTCTCTTTCTCTCAGATAATACAATTTAAATATATGCTATTTAAGAAATTATTCAATTTAATTTTCATTCTTCAATAAAATTTAAAAACAATAATCAATTAATAATAATTAATATAAAAAATAAATCTGACCTTTATCATATTCAGTAGGTATTATTTTCAATTTTGACCTTTCATTACATTTTGTGAAAAAATTGATCCTGAAAAGATCATTATCAAATAAATAAATGATTGATTGATCTGAATAAAATCAATAGGATGAAATTTATGATATTATTAATTAATTTAAAATAACAATTAATTATTATTAATTCAAAACAATTAATTATTAATTATAAAATAACAATTAATTAGCATTCATCTTTTTTTTCTTCCTTCTTCTTCATATGCATTAAAATTTTCAAAACAAAAAACTTTGGAATAAATTTTGATATTTTAAATTTGTAATAAAATATTAAGTATAATTACAAATAATTCTTTTTTTTTTTTAAAATAATAAATAAATGAAAAAGTTAACAAACTTTAAACTATCCAAAATTTCATCGCATTTTATTTCTTTCATCTCATTAGCACTATCTTTTTGAATATCAATTTTCTGAAAAAAAAAAAAAAAAAGGAAACATTAATTTTAATAATTTCATTCTTTATATAAATATAGAATTTTTGATAGTTTAAATAAATATTTTCTAAATATTTTTGATAGTTTAAAATATTTTTCATTTGATAGGAATTTATGTAAGATATGGCATTTATCAATTTATCAATGATTACCTCATCCATTTTTAATTTCAAATTAAAAATATTTTTCAGTTGAAAGAAAAAGAAAAATGGTAACAAAAAAAAAAAGAAACAAAAAAATGAAATTGAGATTTATCTAGAATATCCAAGAATTGCATAACTTAAAAGGTTGTAACATTATAACACAATCAAACTTACCACACTTATCTCCTTATCAGTTCTTATCAGTCCTTTTTCTGCACTTCTCAATGATTGTTTACTCTCAGATTTATCTATAAAAACTTATAATTATATTAAATAATTTTTGATAATTTAAAATATCTTTCAAATATTTTTGATAATTTAAAATATCTTTCAAATATTTTTGATAATTTAAAATATCTTTCAAATATTTTTGATAATTTAAAATATCTTTCAAATATTTTTGATAATTTAAAATATCTTTCAAATATTTTTGATAATTTAAAATATCTTTCAAATATTTTTGATAATTTAAAATATATTTCAAATATTTTTGATAATTTAAAATATCTTTCAAATATTCTTCATTCACTTACCATTATCATTATAACATTTCTTTTTAAGTCGTTTACGTAATTTTCGTTTACGTATTTCACTTGATTGTTGCTCGTTATCTGATGATGAATTTGTTTCTATTTCTAATTTACGTTGCCGTGATTGATAACGTAACGCTGTTAATTTGAAATTAATAAATTAGTAATAGTTTAAACAATTATTTTATTAACATACTAATAATCACTATGAAATTTATTCTAGATTAATAACTAATTAACAAATTATTCCAGAACAAAAAAATTTACTTCTCTCTTTAATGGATAATAATCGACTATTCGATTCACGTTCAGATATATTTTCCGGTATTGATGAATTACGAGCAACCGGATTTATCGAATTGACGGCATTTTCATGTAAATTATTGTCATTGAAACGTAACGGTCGTAATAACATATCTCTGTAATTATATGATTTTTACTTGAAATTATTCATAAATATATTAATGAGGATATCGTGTTAAAAAAAAATATGACTTACGTAAAAAAATATAACTTACGTACTAAAAAAATATAGCTTATGTAGAAAAAAAAGAGCTTACGTAGAAAAAACAAAACATAACTCACGTACTAAAAAAAAACGTAACTTACGTAGAAATAGAATTATACTTAGACAATTTTGTATTAAGTGCGTTTGATCTCGGTCGAACTGGGGAATAACTTCTGAAAATAAATATTTTATTCAGGTAATTTTTGCAAATAAAATAACTTTTATTCTTCTATCTATCTATCTCGATTAACATATAAAAGTTATTTACTAATAATTAAATTGTATAGTTCATTTTAAAAAAAAAAAAGTTTTTTTAAAGACATACCTAGCTAACTAGGTTAATGATAGTTTTAGATAAAAGAAAAAATACAATAAAAAAAAAAAAAAAACAAAAAGTCTCACCTTGACATATATTCTGAGAATCGTCCTGAATTCCATCGATTTGAGTAAAAATTACGAATGGGAGTTTGTTGCTTAAATGTTATCATAGAATTATCAAAAGATAATTTATCATTGAATATTGGTGAATTACGTGCTGAGAAGCGATTGTTTTGTCGATAGAAACCCTAAACAAAAATTAGAATTCAAAAAACTTTCCATTTTTAATTTTAAACTTTAAAATAATTTATTACAAAATAATTTAAAAATTCAAAAAAAAAAAAATTTCTCTAAGCATTCATTCTTGTTTACTTGTTTACTTGTTTACTCTAAATAAATGTATTGTATTATTATTGTTTACCGTAGTTTGTTCATCTATATAATTTTTCAATGCTTTAAGTGTAGTTCGCAATTCATCGCTACCATTACTGGTACAGTTACGACCATTTGGTATACTGCTACGACGTGCACGCATTGTTGCAAGTGTTGAATGCACTGCACCACCAATCTCATCACCGTGAACAATACGTAAACGTGCTGCGTCAGCCATACGACGACGCCATGGACGATCTGCTGTCTTAAGTGTCGCATTTCCGTGATTACTGTAACGTTATCAGAAGATGATAACGATACTAGTAGTGTTGTTATTCATATGAATTGAATTAAACTAGAATGTAACTTACTTACTGATCGTCTGCGACGTATTACTTAAGAATGGCTTATCATGAAGTGACGTTGTAGCTGATGACGATGATGCAGGAACTGTATTGCGTATTCCGGATTGAAAGGATCGAGTCGTAGAGAATGAAGGTGATGTCCATCCTTAATTTTATGCACAGATTAAAAAAGACACGGAAAATGGAAAAGTTAGCAGCTGGTAGTAGCTAACAGGACAGTACATTCCGGAGCGAGTAATTCAGAAATTTATTGGTTAGATTCTTATAAATTATGGATAGAGCAGTTTGTCATAAAAAATGGAAATCTCGAGAGTGACATCGAGATGAGATGATATAAACGGCGTGGAAATTTCAACATTATCAAACAAAAGGTCAATTAAGACAAATGATCTAATGCCATATAATCATATTGAACTTACTACTACTACTACTATTAGAAGTGAAAGAATTTTCACGTGGATTTCTCGTAACCGTATTGTATGTTGTGTTTCGTCGATTTGTTACTGAAATAATATCTTTATCATAATCTGATAATCTTATAAGCTATTCTTTATCATAATCTGATAATCTTATAAGCTATTTCTTTATCATAATCTGATAATCTTATAAGCTATTTCTTTATGATAATCTGATAATCTTATAAGCTATTCTTTATCATAATCTGATAATTTTATAAGCTATTTCTTTATCATAATCTGATAATCTTACAAGCTATTTCTTTATCATAATCTGATAATCTTATAAGTTATTCTTTATCATAATCTGATAATCTTATAAGTTATTCTTTATCATAATCTGATAATTTTATAAGCTATTTCTTTATCATAATCTGATAATCTTATAAGCTATTCTTTATCATAATCTGATAATTTTATAAGCTATTTCTTTATCATAATCTGATAATCTTACAAGCTATTTCTTTATCATAATCTGATAATCTTATAAGTTATTCTTTATCATAATCTGATAATCTTATAAGTTATTCTTTATCATAATCTGATAATTTTATAAGCTATTTCTTTATCATAATCTGATAATCTTATAAGCTATTCTTTATCATAATCTGATAATTTTATAAGCTATTTCTTTATCATAATCTGATAATCTTACAAGCTATTTCTTTATCATAATCTGATAATCTTATAAGTTATTCTTTATCATAATCTGATAATCTTATAAGTTATTCTTTATCATAATCTGATAATTTTATAAGCTATTTCTTTATCATAATCTGATAATCTTATAAGCTATTCTTTATCATAATCTGATAATTTTATAAGCTATTTCTTTATCATAATCTGATAATCTTACAAGCTATTTCTTTATCATAATCTGATAATCTTATAAGTTATTCTTTATCATAATCTGATAATCTTATAAGTTATTCTTTATCATAATCTGATAATTTTATAAGCTATTTCTTTATCATAATCTGATAATCTTATAAGCTATTTCTTTATGATAATCTGATAATCTTATAAGCTATTCTTTATCATAATCTGATAATTTTATAAGCTATTTCTTTATCATAATCTGATAATCTTACAAGCTATTTCTTTATCATAATCTGATAATCTTATAAGTTATTCTTTATCATAATCTGATAATCTTATAAGCTATTTCTTTATCATAATCTGATAATCTTACAAGCTATTTCTTTATGATAATCTGATAATCTTATAAGCTATTCTTTATCATAATCTGATAATTTTATAAGCTATTTCTTTATCATAATCTGATAATCTTATAAGCTATTTCTTTATGATAATCTGATAATCTTATAAGCTATTCTTTATCATAATCTGATAATTTTATAAGCTATTTCTTTATCATAATCTGATAATCTTACAAGCTATTTCTTTATCATAATCTGATAATCTTATAAGTTATTCTTTATCATAATCTGATAATTTTATAAGCTATTTCTTTATCATAATCTGATAATCTTACAAGCTATTTCTTTATGATAATCTGATAATCTTATAAGCTATTCTTTATCATAATCTGATAATTTTATAAGCTATTTCTTTATCATAATCTGATAATCTTATAAGCTATTTCTTTATGATAATCTGATAATCTTATAAGCTATTCTTTATCATAATCTGATAATTTTATAAGCTATTTCTTTATCATAATCTGATAATCTTACAAGCTATTTCTTTATCATAATCTGATAATCTTATAAGCTATTTCTTTATCATAATCTGATAATCTTATAAGCTATTTCTTTATCATAATCTGATAATCTTATAAGCTATTTCTTTATCATAATCTGATAATCTTATAAGCTATTTCTTTATGATAATCTGATAATCTTATAAGCTATTCTTTATCATAATCTGATAATCTTACAAGCTATTTCTTTATCATAATCTGATAATCTTATAAGCTATTTCTTTATCATAATCTGATAATCTTATAAGCTATTTCTTTATGATAATCTGATAATCTTATAAGCTATTCTTTATCATAATCTGATAATCTTACAAGCTATTTCTTTATCATAATCTGATAATCTTATAAGCTATTTCTTTATCATAATCTGATAATCTTATAAGCTATTTCTTTATCATAATCTGATAATCTTATAAGCTATTTCTTTATGATAATCTGATAATCTTATAAGCTATTCTTTATCATAATCTGATAATCTTACAAGCTATTTCTTTATCATAATCTGATAATCTTATAAGCTATTTCTTTATCATAATCTGATAATCTTATAAGCTATTTCTTTATGATAATCTGATAATCTTATAAGCTATTCTTTATCATAATCTGATAATCTTACAAGCTATTTCTTTATCATAATCTGATAATCTTATAAGCTATTTCTTTATCATAATCTGATAATTTTATAAGCTATTTCTTTATCATAATCTGATAATCTTATAAGCTATTTCTTTATGATAATCTGATAATCTTATAAGCTATTCTTTATCATAATCTGATAATCTTACAAGCTATTTCTTTATCATAATCTGATAATCTTATAAGCTATTTCTTTATCATAATCTGATAATCTTATAAGCTATTTCTTTATCATAATCTGATAATCTTATAAGCTATTTCTTTATCATAATCTGATAATCTTATAAGCTATTTCTTTATCATAATCTGATAATCTTATATATTTCTTTATCAATGTATGTATCAATGTTATCATAATCTAATAAGTAAAATCTAATTTTAAACTAAAGTCGACAAATTCTATCAATTATTGGAAACGGCAAAATTATTTGACAATAGATATTTCTGAAAGTTTATACGTTAATACATATTTAAATATTTAATACTTGACAATAAATGATAGCAAAAGTTAAATGAGTAACCTAAAAATTCAAAAAAAGAAAAAAATAAAAATAAAATAAAGAGTAAATTTCAAAAAAAAAGTAGTAATATATATTTTAAGTTGCTATTTTCGCTGAAAAAAAAAAAAATTCAGAAGCACAAACAATTATCAGGAAGCCAAGGAAGTCGAGGTGATATCCTTGTTGATGTTTTATCATTCATCACTGATAATACAGAATCTCCAAAACGTACGGAACGCTCTCTGATATACGGACCGGAGTTCCTGTAATTTTTTATTAAACATTTTAAATCTATTGAAAAATTTCAATTGTTTTATTTCAACCTTTACTGAAAGTAAAATTACTTGAAAATAATATTATCTTATTTGTGTAATGAAAAAGCATCTATCTGTTTACTTTAAGCAATCATTAATTAATTGATTGTTAAAATGCTTTTTGTTATGAAAAGCACTTAACTATTTTAAAATTATTTAAAATCATTCAAAATGATAAGATAAAGAATGATGATGATAGATGAGAAAAAGATAAAAATATCAGGCATAAATTAAAAACATAACAACAAATGCGCTTGCATTGAAAAAAAAGATTGAGGAAAATGGGTGGTAGAGCGTAAAGTTGAACTCTTACAATTGATAAAATTCATTTCAACATGCTAAGGTCATTCTCAGCAATATTTATTAATATAAATTCACATTATAGATCATTAGAGAGAGAGGGAGAGAGAGAGAGAGAGAAAAATGATAATTGATGTGATAAGATTATATTATATCAATTGTTATCATATCAATGATATCTTTAACACTTTATAGTGCTTAATGCTATAAAATATTCATATAAATTCTCATAAAAAATTACTTAAAGAAATTGTGAAAATAAAAGGAAAAAAAAAAAAGTATTTTTGAGAGAACAAACTTCAATTCGATGTTATTTTTGCTAGTAGATTGTAAGCCGATATGTCCTAATGGTGGTGTCGAATAATCCTTTGATTCAGAAAAAGGCATAAAACGACTGCAATATCTACTACCAATAGTTCCACCACTGCTCTCCAATGGTTTATTCCATCGTATCGAATTCCAACTGTACAGTAAGCTTATCATAGATGAATACTCGATTTTCATTCAAATATTTAATTATAAAATATTTAATTAAACAATTTAAATTTTTAAAAAAATATTTAATTAAATATTTTTTTTTTTAAAATTTTCCGAAGGAACAATTTGTTTAAGATAGCATTGCTACAGTACCTTACTTAAAATTGTCTTAAAGTAAAATTTTATTTTTCTATTCGTTTGCAAATGAATTATCAACTAATCATATCAATAATGATAATTATCACTAGTATTACTTAAATGCTAATTGAATTAGCTCTTTTTAATGTTAATTCATTTTTCACACCTAAAAAAAAGTGATAAGTCGAAAAAAATACTTAATTACAATTTTCAAACAAATATCAATGTATACGACCTGGTACCATAAGTATGCGGTGTGATTGCTTGTGTGACATTTGCGCTTCGTCTAGCGCTAGTTGAATTAGTATCATTACTAGCACTAGCCCAACGTTTATGATACATTCCCGATGATAATGTCATTTAGTTCCTGATAAAATTTTAATTTATTTTACAAATTCATTTATTCCTGATAAAAAATAATAATAATAGTAATATTTAAATTTATTTTTCTAATTATGATTGAAACATATATGACATTATTATTCTCATTTCATTCTTCAATTTAATAACAAAAACAAAAAAAAAAAAAAAAATGGAAAAGGTTTTGTTTTGTAGTACCAGAAGAATATATCGAAAAAACCGGTTAGCTTTCAGGACAACTCACATCGAACTCCGGTCTACACTACGGTCTAAAAGTAATTCAATTTGGCAACAAAATTTACTTCTCTTTTAAACATACATCATTAGCATTAATGAAATTACTAAAAACAATTTTTAAACGAATATTGCAAATGAGATTTCAGGTTTTCAGGCTCATATTAAGAATTTGAAGCTTTAGCTAATTAACAATCACATACAAATAGATTAGTTTAAAATGAATATTTATTATTTAAAAAAAATAATAAATCATATATAATAAAGTTTTCATAAAAAAAAAATAAGCTTAATATGAATCTGAAAATTTGAAAAATAATTAATTTCTGAAAAGAATTTTTGGGAAAAACTTTGGTTTTTCACTGTAATTTGTTTCATTTTTTCATTTATAGCTATTTACACTTTTTTTTTTCTTTTTTTTTTTTAAATAATTCTTTCTATCATTCAAACAAATAACACTGAAATAATTGTAAAAATTTAAAACTCTTTTTTTTATTGTTATTCTTTTTGCACATTTTGTAAACAAATTCGCCGATAAGTTATGTCATATTTTCTTAAACTTTATTAAAAGTAATTTGTAAGAAATTATGAAAAAATGATATACCATTTATGTTATTGCTAAATTGAACAAAAAAAATAGGAAAAAAAAGCTAAGAAAAAATCGACGAGGAATTTGTTAAAAGTTTAAAAGTATCACAGATATTAAAAAAATATTTAATGAAAAGACTCTAATTTTATTATAAATAAGCTTCAATGCCTACTAAACCGATTGTATATTTTATAGATTTTTTTTTTAAAATTTAAATACAAAATTTATAAATTACTATTTCTTTTCATTTTGAAAAAATTTGAAATGACTTTCTTTTATATTTTTGATGATAAAAATAGAATGTATTAAGATAATTTTTCTATTTTTAAGTAAATTTTAGACAAGAATATTCTAGATTTTAAGCTATCTGTCTGAAACTCATTTATCAAATAAATCAACCAGTAATTTAAGAAAAAAAAAATGATTGATAGTTTCTTAGATATTTATAGAAATGCTTTTATACATTTGTTTGACATTATCACTGAAAGCACATATGCTAACTTTTTTTTTTTTTATAACATGATAACTGATAACTGATTACAATTTTATTCAAAAAAAAAGCGAAAAAAAATGATAAAATTATTCTTGAAAAAAAGATAGATCTATTCTTAGGATATTTTTGATTGTGTATAATCAATAAACAAATTTAAATGATTACTCTTTCATTTTAAATCAACTTGAAATCTCAATGATAATTTAGCAGGAAAACAAAAGAAAAGAAAAGAAAAAAAAAGGAAATGAAAATTGAATCAGCTATAATAAAAGTAAAATAATAGTTTATGCTAAGAAAATAAGCATTTTTAAAGCTTTAGCTGAGATAAATTGCACATTTTAGACAGATTGCAAGAACGAAATGTTTAGAGTGAAAAAGTAAAAATGCTTCATTTCACTTTTCAATCTTCTCACTAACACTCTTTTTCTGCTATTCAATTTCAATTATTGAACAAATCTTTGCTAATATTAAATTAAATGCATCAACATCATAATATTGTCTAGACTTTAATAATATATCATAATAGTAAGTAAGTAAATAACCACAAATCAAACAAACAAATAAACAAATCAAAAAAAAAAAAACGCATTTATGAAATCATAAATGAAAATTTCTGCTCACTTTTTCTTTTTTTTTTTTTTTTTTGAAATTTTTATAATCAATAAATAAGACTAAAAGCTTAAAAGACAGCAGAATGTTAAGAAGAAAAAAAAAAGTTTAAAAGGATGAAGGAATTGTGAAAACGAACAGAGTTGCACCATTCTCATGCAAAAGAAATGATTTATATCTTATCAAATAAATGCAGCAATTGGTGATTTCACTTGCAGACAATTTAAATCGAATTTTCTATTATTAGTGACATTTATTTTCAAATGTAGTTGATAATTTGATAAAAATTTACTCAACGCTGAAAGCATACTGCGTCATACTAAATAATTGAAATCTCTTAATCAGAAATGATAATAATAATAGTATTGATAATAATAATAATAATAATAATAATAATAATATTGATAATAATAGTAATACTGATAATAATAATAACAATAATACTACTACTACTAATAATAATAATAATAGCAACAATAATAATAATAATAATAGCAATAATAACAATAATAATAATAATAATAATAATAATAATAATAATAATAATAATAATAGCAACAAAAATAATAATAATAGTAATAATAACAATAGTAATATTAATAACAATAATAATAATAATAATAATAATAATAATAATAATAATAATAATAATAATAGCAACAATAATAATACAATTTAGAATAATTCTATATCCAAAAAAAAAAAAAAATTTGTTTTCTTTCATTAAATGAATTTGAATAATATAAAATGGTCTGTCACTTTTTTTTTTGCAACGAATTAATTTAATTCTATAAAATTTGGATGATAATAATGATGATGTTAGTAATAATTAATAATCATAATAAGATATCCCTTACTTTATGAAATATGCAAATTCTACAATGATTAATTCATTCTATATATTTTATAATTAATGAAAGCAATTTTAAGTAATAATTCAGAATGCGTATAATATAATAAAATAGGAGCATTTATCTTTTATATTTTTGCACAATTTTTATGACTAAAAAAAAGAAAACGAAACGAAACAAAGAAAAAATGAGATAAATTTATTTATTCAATTGTCCAGTAATTTTTGAAAGAAAAGGACATAAGTTTAGGTTGGAACAGTTGTTATCAAGTTGATTGCTCCTTCTTAGCTAAATATCATTTTGCATCCTCTCTTCCTCCTTCTCTTCCTCTCCCTCTCCCTCTCTCTCTCTCTCTTTATTTATTTATTTATTTATTTATCAATCTTTTTAACTACAACAAACCTTTAGTGTTATTAGCATTAGTTGCCACTTTTTTTTTCAGTCTTGAAATGAGAAATACCTGCTTAATAAAAGGTAATTTGTAGCACGATTTAATGAACTTTATCGAAATATATCAATAGGTCATGAGAATATATCAATAGATCATGGAAATATATCAATAGATCATGGAAATATATCAACAGATCATGGGAATATATCGATATCAAGGTCATGGAAATATATAAAACAGATCAGCAATGTAACTGTACTATCCTCAATTGACGCAGTTACTGATAAGATTCTTTTCATATCTCTGAATACCTGTCAATCTCTGAACACCTGTTGATCAGAGCAGGAAGAAAAGACTGCGCAAAAGTGTTAGTAGAAATGATTATTTCAAAGCAACGTTAACATTTTCAACTCATTTGTTCAAAAATATATTTTAATAAAGATAAGAGAAGATAGCATTTTTTCTTATCTTATCAATAGCTTCTTATCTTATCAAATGCTTTTCTTTTTTTCATCATGAAAATATACAGAAAGCGCAAAATGCTATGCGCAATTGTTTTTAAAATTAAAAATTTGAAAATAGATATTGTAAAATAATGATATATACATTTGACATTCATTGTATGCATACCTTAAAGAGAAAATTAAATTTTTTGGAAAAAAATAATTATTGTGAAAAAGGATGATGAAATTATATTCATTTTTAAATGAATTAATTATCATTGAATCTATAGACATATATCATTTATATTTGAATGATTTTGAAGATAGCATTTTTTTCATTTTTAATTTCAATTTCAACTTCATCCTTATCAATTACTTACTTACTTATCTTTGGTTAAATTAACAATATTTGAATATTGAACAGTGATCATAATTAAAAAACTATGTTTAATGATTATTTGTTAGCAAATTGCGCCACTCATAATCGATAGTGCAATGCTATGAAAGTAATTAGTCTTTAATTTTAACTTTTTTTTTCTACTTACTTACTTAGAGATCAAATTGTTGCTCTCTTATTAGAAAACTCCCAATTACATATGCAATTACAATTACACTCTGACGCACTTTTGCATTTTTTCATATATATTTTAATTGGTCACTTTTTTAAAGGTGTATTCTGTTTTCTACTAAAAAGCTTTTTACTTCATTTCTTAGTTTAACTTACTTCTAACATAAGTAATTTGCTAACAGCCATCCAAAAGCTAAGGTAACTACATAATTGGTCAAACGATTGATTGAAAATAATTAAAAGCCCTAACTTGTATACAAGAAGAACTGATAAATTTCATTAATTTTAATATCACTTAAAAGCTTTTTACTTCATTTGTTAGTTTAACTTACTTCTAACATAAATCAAACGATTAGTCAAAAGGTAATTAAAAGCTCTAAATTGTTGTTAATTACAAGTATACAAGAAGAACTGATAAACTTCATTAATTTTAATTTTCACTTAGTAACAACAAAAAGTGCAATATTCTGCTGTTATATATTGTAGATCTCCAAAGAAGATTTCTTTCATTCAGTATATCAGTTTTTTTTCTTGGTCTGACATTTTTATTTTGGACTGATGCGAGATGGTTTAGGGTTGTGTAAGTTGTAAGTAAATTATTTGGATTGTGGTCTAGGAATTAAGGTTATAGGTCACCGACCAATTTTATTCGCTACTTTTCTGTGTATGGAAATGATTTCATATTATGTTGACTCTGCTTTAACCATAACTTTTATCTTGCATAATTCATTTTTGTTTTTTTCACTGATCAGATTATTTCATTGATCGATTTATTTAATTAGCTCATTTAAATCACATTGTTTGCACTTAGTATTTTACTTT